GTCATTGTTGTTTGGCGGGTCCGGGCTGGGGATTCGAACCCGCCACCTTAGGTGTACGTGGCTGGCGCCTTAGCCGCTTGAGCTATAGGCGCCGAGCCGGATTTCTGTCTTTATTCAGAAATCAGAGCTGGCTCTAGATATTTGTTTTAGCATTAATTCACCAGCAGCTCTTAGTAAATCTTCAACTTGTTTTAAAACTTATTCTAACTAAAAAGATGCAGAGCTGAAGAAATAATTTAGGCCTTTAAGGATTCAATATATTAATAATGCAAAATGACTTATGAAATTTCAGCAATGACATCACTAATAAACATTTTATTATCATCTTAATTATCAAGGAAAAGTTGATTAGTGATTTCTAGTTTTCTAGAAGTAAAATTAAAAATCCACTTGATTTTAATTTTATAATCAAATAAAAATGCCTAAGAGGGCCAATCTTTATCATAAAAACAAAGGTTAAAAACAATTAACAGCAATATTTTAAGGTAAGAATTAATAGATCACATGGTATAAAAAATAAAAACACTGTACTAGGAATGAGAACATTAGTTCTAGTATCAGCTCTGTCCCTAATTTGCTGTGTTTAAAACTTTCTAAGGTTCCTCAAATTCTGTTTACTCTTTAGCTCTATGTATGTTCAATATTTAAGACAAATCCTGCTGATGGTAGTATTAAAAGTAGTAGTTATAACTATACAAATGAGCTTGACTTCCCAAATGCATAAAAATAAAAACAGACTAACAATATTTTATTTTTAAAAACTATAAGGGGGCCAGGTGTAGTGGCTCACGCCTGTTGTTCCAGCACTGTGGGAGGCTGAGGCGGGTGGATCACCTGTTCTCAGAGGTTTAAGACCAGCTGAAGACCAGCCTGAGGCAGAGTGAGACCCCGTCTCTACAAGAGCAACAACAAGACAGCCAGACCTTGTGATCCCAGCTACATGGGGGGCAAGAGAATACTACAGGAGGAAGAAGTAAAAAAAATAAATAAATTAAAAAAAAAAAACTTCAAAGTAAGATAAGTTGAAAGCAAAAAAAAAAAAAAAAACTTGAAAAAAACCATAAGGGATGTAATTTATCTTCATAAATTCTATTTGTTCTCCTAGAGAAATGATGAAACCCAATTAGAACACTATGGTTAAGTAGGATTTTCTTTAATTCCCGGGCTATTCTTGACCACGAGTAATAGGTATATGTGTATAGCTGTCAAAAAAATATTTGTGAGCGGGCGGCACCTGTGGCTCAAAGGAGTAGGGTGTTGGCCCCATATGCCAGAGGTGTTGGGTTCAAACCCAGCCCTGGCCAAAAACTGCAAAAAAAAAAAAAATTTATGAGCATTTGGTCTTACACTAGCAAACAACATATCTCACTTGCTTATGAGACTCTCATAGTTAGGAACAGCAAATTTATAATGATTAAAATAAATAATCATTTAGAGTGATAATCGTAATTATTATTTAACCACATTATTCAGTATAGCTATTCCCTCACAAAAGGGTGATGAGTTTTACTTTTTAACTATGAATAATGAGGAATAAAGACTATTATTGATAATAGTCTAAATCAGATGAGGATGGAAAAAAGTGCCAAGAAAAGGAATTTATGATTCCTGATCTCCTATATTCAAGTATGGGAGAGCAAATGATAGGAGAAAATATTCTGTGAAATACTAGTCCCTAGAGAGACTGGTAGGAAGCTATCTTCAAAATAAACATCCTATTTTGCATTATTTATTTATTTAATTTTTTTTTTTTTGAGACAGAGTCTCAATCTGTTGCCCTAGGTAGAGTGCCATGCCATCATAGCTCACAGCAACCTCCAATTTGGGCCATCCTCTTGCCTCAGTTTTTCTGTGTTTAGTAGAGATGGAGTCTTATGCTTGCTCAGGCTGGTCTTAAACTCATGAACTCAAGCAATCCACCCATCTCGGCCTCCCAGAGTGCTAGGATTACAGGTGTGAGCCACTATGCCCAGACTAATTAGCACTTTTTAGATCAAGCTCTTCTCTTCCCATGGGAGGTTCTGAGAGCCTTGTGAACATTAGGTGTAAGTTTGAGATCTTCAGTGTGAGTGGCTTCCATAAAATACCTCAAATTTTTCATTTTAACAAATGAAGGCCCATAAATTAATTTCATATAGCTAGTCACTGGCAGAGCTATAAACAGATCCTAGGTCTCAACACTTATTAAATTCTGTTTATAATAGCTTGTTTCCAAAAAAATCGTAGCACATTTTCTTTTTTTTTTTTTCCTTTTTCTTTAGAGACAGGGTCTTGCTCTGTCAGCCAGGTTGAGAACAGTGCAGTGGTATGATCATAGCTTACTGTAAAGAGATCCTTGTGCCTCAGCCTCCCAAGTAGCTGGGACTATAGGCACCCACCACAATGACTGGCTATTTTTCTTATTATTGTTGTCATTGTTGTTTAGCAGGCCCTGGCCAGTTCAAACCCACCAGCTGCAAAGCATGTGGCCAGCACCCTAACCACTGAGCATGGACGCCCAGCCTAAATCTTTAAACTGTTTTAAGTTCAGTCTAAAAATAAAGTCATTTCTTTAAGGATCATCAAAAGTATATATATTTAGAGAAGTGACAGCCCTTTAATGATCTTTACCTAAATATCAGTTATCAATTTTAAGTGTTATTAAATCATGGTTAAAACAGTGACAAAAGGTACTGAAAGGAAATATGTCTATCAGGATTCATTAGATTTTATTTATTTATTTATTTTTGAGACAGAGCCTCAAGCTGTCATTCTGGGTAGAGTGCTGTGGCATCACAACTCACAGCAACCTCCTACTCCTGGGCTCAAGCAATTCTCTTGCCTTCGCCTCCCAAGTAGCTGGGACTACAGGCGCCCACCACAATGCCTGACTATTTTTTGGCTGCAGTTGTCATTGTTGTTTGGCGAGCCCAGGCTGGATTTGAACCCACCAGCTCAGGTGTATGTGGCTGGTGC